GAGATTTATCAGCCGGCGTTTGCGCGCTTCATTACCTCCGCGTGCTTGTTTTCGTGCTAAAATCCCAAATTGTCATTGTGGTCGTGTTCAAGCTGTTATCAGTAATCGCAACTGAACGTTGATGAAACAATCTCAGCATAAGGTCCAGTGAAGGTCTGAGTGATTGAGTTGCCCAATTAACATGGAGTTGTAGCTTTTTCTCCTCAGAAACAGTGCTGGACAAATTGTTTTTTTTGGATAATTTCACCTCCCTAGGCCTCCATAAGTTATTCAAATACCAGAAATTGACTTTGGCTTCACACCAAGCTTGCATAGTTAAGAGATGTAGTGTTTCACATTAAGTGCACAGTGTAGCTTTAACAAGCTGCAAAGAGGGATGATGGGAATAACTTCTAAATAAACATTAACGACACATTTTCTTAACCCCATCCTTATTTCACAAGTCAGCCTGTTTAGGTTCCCTTTAACCTCGGTTGCAAAACTTGACAGACAATCGCTGTGTGCCGCTGTGGTCAACAAGTCTGTATGGGAGAAGAATTATCCAGAAAGATGAGAAGATGAGAAGGTTCCAGAAAGTATTTTCTTGAATTTAAAGTGTCATAAATTAAGATTTAGAAACTCAGTCCTAATACGTTGAGACTAGACTAGAGGGTTTGACAGATGTGTCAGGTTTCCCACCTGATCAGCTGATACCGACCACACTGATATCTGTACTGGCACATGTTTTCATCAATATGCTCTAGAAACATTAGTTACAAACAGGAAATCCAGAAAAAAAACATTCTTTCGATCTTTTAAAAACAGTGTCATCTGGCACTTTGTGCAGTCATGGAGCCAGAACAGTGACTTCAGGTTTTGGCACTGACAGTAAGATTTGCCTTTGAATAAAAACCCTGAACTGAAAAACAGTTATCGGCACAGCTCCTGGCGCAGGTAAAAGTTTCACTGAAGAACAGAATATAAGCATTCAAAATGATTATTTTATTTGTGATATTGAAATGTATTCTGGTGTTTTTAAATGAACCCCACAGGAACCAAACTCTGAGAGCGTCTAACTGCCGCGTGGTGAAGTATTTCCTTCTGAAACGGCATAGAAGCGATCACAAGATAGAAGGTGGGACATAATGTGGGGAAGGATTTGATTGGATCTCTGAAAAGTGGGCGTATCGCAACAAACACAGTGACGTCTTGGACTCGGAAACTCCGGCCATCTTCTTTGTAACCGCGGGTTACCACGGGAGACACCGGTAACTCACAAAACCAAACGCACAACGACGACCCATAACTACTCATTATCTCATAGATCCTGCACACCGGGCAGTAACTGGCAAAATGTAAAGTTAAGGGGGAGGAGCACAGAAATAAAACAAAGCTTTTTAATTGGTAGAGAATTAGTGAACAGCCCTGAGTGCAGGATGAGTCATCAGACAGTGGAAACGATTTACGGGAAAAGAAAAACAAGTTATCTTGATTTTTTTTAAACAAAGCAGCCTCCTGAGTTACCTTATGTGAATTCAGAATCGACAGTGAACAATCGTTCTCTATTCAAGCTCAAATATCCATCTATAGTTTGAACTCCGGCCTTGCAGAAATCCCCTGTGAAGATTGTAATAAGAAGGATTTGTGTTAATTGTTCTTCATCTTGTTTGCTACGATCATACTGGTTACCACAGCAAACACTGTTCACCATGCTTCATAATGTGAGCAGCATCAAGCCTCTCTCTCTTTTATTTCCTTCTGTAAGTGTAAAGGGTATAGACTCCCCTCTGAAGGCTCTTACTGACTCCAGCTGAAAATACCAGCACCTTTGTTTTCCTGCTGTTCTTCACATCTCATTCATATATCAGGATGCTTCATTGTGTATCACTGCTCACTAATAAACATGTGAATGTGACATAGTCCAAATATATCCCCCCGCAGGCTGTTGAGCTTTATTACCAGGTGCTTTTACGCTTAACCTTTAATTGATGAACGAGCCATTTTCCAGACACCGCACAGCTATTCTCCACTAAACACCATCAGTGGCAAATGATGAGTGATTACGCTGCAGTCGTGTTGGTTTGGGACCAGGCGGGAATATATTACACTGGGATGAAGACAGTATATACAGTAGATTGGAAAAGGATGTTCTTTAAATGATCCCTGGAGGAACGTGACTCACTCTTGTGGAAAATAATCTTAACAGTGGAATATACACACGGGGGGAAGCGACGGAGTGCACGGAGTTTATTAAACAAAACACAAGCAGCAATTACAGCAGTGAACTGTGATGAATGTGAATGACGGCGAGCGTGAGCGTGTGATTATTGTGCTTACAGTGCTGCAATCAGACCTGCTCTGGAGCGTTCCACTCTGACAGCGACGGAGGGGTGTGCGCTCCAGAGGGAGAAAACACACGCATCCGATTGGCTGAGGAGGGGATAAAGCGCCCGAGCAACGCTAGCCATGTTTTCTCTGCTTTATCACGTCGTATGTGTGTCTTCATATAGGTCCTCTTTTCCCCCTGTTACTCTCTCAATCACACACACACACACACTTTATCTCTTCATCTCTCTTACTCGCTGCTAGTGCTCGGAGGGGTAAATGAAAGTGTAGAGGGAGGGAGGGAGGGGGGAGATGGTGGGGAGGGGGCTTTGGCTCTGGGGACAAAAAGAGTAAGAAAAGGCATGAGATGAGATCTGAGCAGCTGACTGTGCTCATGATGCTTTTGGAATTTCATCGTGGAGGTTTGAGGGGTGAATCGACGGCAGGAGATGTGAGGGAATTTGATAATGAAACAGAAGAGAAAAAAAAAAAAAGGGGCGGGAGGGGAATATCAAAGATATCATGTTTGTATTTTGAAGCATGAAACAGAATATTTGAAAACTGTTTATTACATGAAATTTAAAGTTTCATGAGAATGGAGGCCTTTATTTCACTGCTCTTTCTTCATTTTAGACTGACATCATGTTCAGCTTTTCTTTTTTGGGGCAGGGCTTGTTTTGTTTCGATTTCTGGGAAACATATCAGTGTCAGTAATGACTCAATCCATCTGACGTCTTCTGTGGTCAAAACACCTTAGCCCTGGAAGTATTTGTTAATAGTCACAACATGAAATAACTCACTTAATTGACCAACAGCAAAAAAGTTGTGTAAATGGCTGAGCCTAGTGCGGGTGTGGTATTGGATCCAGAGGTGTTGTGTTGCTTGCACAGCACCCTTGTTGTCTTGAACGTGCCCCTGCAGGGATTTCAAACGTGCATCCAAAATACGTGATTCAGACTCAGAGTATTGATTACTGCTACTATGACTGGCCGATGTCGCCGTCATTTCCCCCGTTTGATTCACACATTTCAAATGAATGTTTGAGACATTACACATACGAGGCGGGAAGGCAGTATCACAAATATTCTGGCCATTTTTTTTTTTTTTTTGTTCTACTTTACGTCATTTCTTCTCAATCATGAACATTAAATGAAAGTTACTCTATGTGCCGTAAAAAGTACCGTCCAATCTTCTCTTTCACTGTGCTTACTTGATCTCTCGTTGGCGTAGTTTCTGTTCTCCCCTCAGCTCTCCTTTGGTCTCCTCTCGCTCTGTCCACCATATCCCTCCATTTTTTCCTCTCTCTTTATGTTACATCACATTCTGTAGTGTTATATTTCAGCCACTTTTTCAACATTACGGTTTTTGTTCTTGGACGCTCACCAGCATCAGAACAGCTTACACATGCATGCCCTCTTCAAACTTCCCTTTCCTCTCATGATAGTATTCACAGATCACATGTATATCTGCGACATATATCAGTTTTCCCTACATGTAAACATACACAGACTTTGTTAGTATAGAGCCCACCACTTCCCCAGTCTCTATCTCCTCCTCTCTCTCTTCTCCCTCTCTATGGGTATCCATCATGTCTTGCTCCTCTCTGGGTGTCCCTCTGACTACACTTTTCCACTCATTACTGGCCTCTTTTCATCCAGAGCTGCAGGACCCCAGAGACCACCAACATTGTGCTGGTCCTGACGGTGGCCCCTGGAGAGTCAGAAAATTTGCCATTATATCCTCTAAACAAGAGATCCCCCACAAGTTCAAAGTAAAATTTCAAATGCACACAAATCTCTCTGAGACGTGTGTGGCCAAAGTGCTGACCAGGAAACTATGCAGCATAAATAAATGATCATACCCTTTTTTTAGTCCCAGCCTCCATGAATGTATGTACACATGGGTGATGGGATCCTTCTAGCGAGGAAACGTTCAGATAAAGAAGGTCTCTTTAAGTTCCTTTCAGGAACCTTTGGTTTGTGTCATAGTTGGCGCACCCTGAGGACAAAGTGGATCCTCCTATCTCTCTGCTGATTTTTTCATGTTCATGTGAAAGTTTTCTTACAAAGAAGTCTAATCCTTCTTTCTTCAACTAAGAGACCCACCACAAGGATCTTTCTGTGTTTGCCAACATTTGATTTTTGCTTTTTCAGAGTTGTCATTTTTTTCCTTTTTCCTTGTTTGCTTTTGCAGAAAAATGTGTTGGACCAAAAAAAGCACAAAGTTGGTGTTTATCTATTTCCCCCGATAGATCTCACAAACCTGACATGCTTTCAAAATCTGAACATGCAGAAATGATATACTGACCAAGAACTGTCTGTACAGAATGTAGCTCTCCGTCTTGAGTTTCCCCTTGTGTCAATGTCCCAGTACACATAAAAACTTAACGTCCTCCTGTCTTCTCTTTCCTTGTATCTCAATCCTTTGGCACACATTTTCCCTACATTTCTACTCACCGCTTCCACATTCTAATCTTCTTCCGTCACCTTCCTTTCTGATTTACTTTTGACCTTGACTTCTGCCTCACTGCATCCACTCATTCTCCTTTTGTCATGTTTCTCCTCTCGCTCCTCACTTCATCCCACCTCCACTCTTGATTATTCCTATAACTCCTTCATCCTCTCCCATCCTTCCTTCGTCTTCCCCCCTCACCTTTTCATGCTGTTAATCCTTTCTACCTTTTCCGTCTTCCACAGAACCATGAGAGGGAAACGGCGCTTCACTGCGCAGCCCAGTACGGACACTCTGAGGTGGTTTCAGTACTGCTTCAGGAGCTGACTGACCCCACCATGAGAAACAGCCAACAGGAGACGCCTCTGGACCTAGCAGCACTGTATGGACGCCTACAGGTCAGTGAGGATGACACATGGCAGGTTTATGAGAAAATATATCATCTCAAGGTTTATATTTCACTCTGAAGGACTACTTCAGCCTCTAAAATGATCCTGTATACATTTAATAGGGAAGCAAAAATACCATGCAATACAGTTAAAAAGTAGATCAGATTAGAAAACGTAATTGACATCCAGCCGGGCAAAAAAATAGTTACACATAAGGGACAAATGTCTCTGACCACGCCCCTTTCTGGAAGGGGATGTGGCTTGGGCGTTCTTGCGCCATGCCCTATTGTTCACGGGTTGAAAGGGCAGACTCAGAGGGCAGAACAAACACCTAGCTGTGGGCGTGTCACCCACCTGAGGGAGGGGTTACTGCCCTTTGTGATGTCATGAAGGGAAAATCGCCAAACACCTGTTTGAGGAGATGTTTTCTGAAAAATGGAGCAGGCGAAAGACGCAGAGGATGGACTTTTCTCATAATTCGTGGTTTGTAGGCAGACGAGGGGCAATTATTAGTGTTATAAAAACACGGTGAAGTGTATTTTACATAATATGTGACCTTTTAAAAAGAAAAAAGAAAAAGTTCAAACATAATATTTAACCTGGACTACATCCAAGCCATTACCATCAAATCTACCAATCCATTCACTGACTATAAATCCTAAAGTCCCTATCTATAAGACACTTCTGAGCCCCACATGTGCACAGTTTGATGAGGAGCGAGATGAAGAAATATCTCACCCTGACCTTTTGGTAATTCCAGAGGGGAGAAGCTCAAATCTAGAGATCCCTTTTTTACCCCTTCATAATATTCTGTTTTCAATCAAAATAGATTTGTATCTCCTAATAAGACGTTACCGTTGCTTGTAGCGCGGCTCAATCAAAACCAAACAGGCAGCAGTGACAGGGCGGGGGAAGCCGTCCAGGGATCATTCCGTTAACCCACTTGTTGCGAGGCATATGTGAACCTCTGCACGCCTTCTGTATACCTGATGACGCTCCCCGTGGCAGGTGACAAAGAAGCAGGTGGTGACTCAATCTGCACCCTCCCCGGGACATCAGCGGGCATTGGCGGTGATGAGGGGCGTCATCTGTTCAGAGACAGCAATACACTGTTGATTATTTTAAATATGGCGGATGTTTGATGAAAGGAGAACTTCCTCAAATACCTGCTGTGCTTGACAGGCAGGCAGGTAGAGGATTTACAAATGCGAGTTTACTCTTTAGTCAAAAAAAGATACACACACACACACACACACACACACACACACACACACACACACACACACACACACACAGTCACACTGAGAGGCGTACGCAGCAAATGCCTGCTGATGTTCAAATGCAATCACACATTCTCTCTGTGCAGGTAGTGAGTAATTGCAGTCAAGCCATACAGGTTTGTCTGAGTGTGAATGAATAATTTATAAAGGCAGCAGCGTTTCTCTCTCTCTCTCTCCCTCTGCATAATAATGATGAAGGAGGGAAATCCCTGTGGTGGAGTCTTCTGCTGCATAGAGATGGAACTAACACAGGGCAAAAGTTGACGTTACACACACACATGCGGTACGCACACGGATACACATTCAAGAAGGAAGCTTCCAAGAGCTCTGTGCGTTGTTTAGCTGTGTTATTAAAAGCACCATCCATGATCAAACAGAGGAGCACACTGCTACGGCTCCAGCCTCCTACTGGGTTGATTGACACATCTTTTAATGCAGGGGTCTGCACTATAAAACAAATAGTGAAGCAGACCCTACAGTATCTCTCCCTGTCATCTGTTGTACTAAACACAGACGTCTCGACCCCTTTACTTTCTCTTTCTCTCACTGTCAAAAAAGTTGACATGAAAGTTTACAAAGAATAATAGTGGCACATTCATCATTTGTAAATTATATTGATTTTATACAGAAATAAAAGAAGGGGGGGGGGGGTCAAGTGTGATTGCTCAAACTAAAACGACAACTGTAGTTAAGTGACTGAAATAGCTGTAGCTAGCTAACCAGTTATTGGGTATGACCATACAGTCAGCTTTGTGAGAGATTTATGAAAGCTTTGTTTGTCCAAATTGAATATAAAACGGGGGAATAAGTTTCAATGTTTAAAATCAGTCCAGCCAATGTCGGGATGTAATTGTCTTAAGTCAAGAGAACTGTCCTGCCTTTCAATACAATGGACATAGTTCATAAATATGACACATGCAGGAATACATACATTGAACTTTTGACCCCAAAAATGCTTAGAAATAAAATGCTTCAAAAGTTCCGAAGTTCAAAGTTTAAATCACTTTGTTTGTACAAAAACAGTATAGACCAATTCAGAATGTTCAACAGCAGATGATCCACACAGAAGAAACTTAAGGAGCAGCATTAGTCTTCTATGACAGGCTGTTAAGCTCTAGTATTACACGGTAACCTGCAACGAATCACATGTTAACTTTTACAAAACAAAGTAAGGATTTCAGCTGAGAAGTAACTGATGCGATGGTTGGCAAACCCCTCAGGAGCCAAATTTTAATAAAAGATTCAGGAAAGAATGGCAGTTTTGAAGATGTTCAATAGATAATGTAATCAACCAAAGAAACTCTGCACTAAAGAAATGAAATATCACTGGGATCAGAGTGTAAACAAACAAATACAGCCGCTCTAAAAACTTTGTATTTAGTCCTAAAAAAGTGTATCTTATGGCCTACTTTCTCCTAATGAGCCGTTTAGTCCCTGACATGTGTGTGTGTGTGTGTGTGTGTGTGTGTGTGTGTGTGTGTGTGTGTGTGTGTGTTTCTCTGTGCAGGTGGTGTGCATGTTGGTGAGCGCTCATCCCAACCTCATGACCAGCCACACCCGCCGACACACTCCGCTTCACCTGGCCGCACGCAACGGACACCACAGCACGGTCCAGACGCTGCTCGAGGCCGGCATGGACGTCAACTGTGTGGTAAGAAAAATGAACAGCCCTCAGCGATCGGTGTCCTCTATCGGCATCTGTGGGTTTAACGGATTTAGACACGGATAATTGTAGCCTTGCAGGAAAAAAAAAAAAAAGTGAAATATTGCTGTTTTTATTTTGTGTTTTTTAGGCTTTGGGCAAAAACTTTTTCTCTTCAGAAAATTGGATTAAAAAAAACGCTCTTGTCTGTTTACAACAGGGATGACATGGTTACTTAAGCTTATCCAAAGTTAGCTGGAAGGTGTACTTAAGCAGATATAAGATGTCAGGTAAATGGGTCACGTCAAGACTTGTGGATTATCATGAGCAATCTTTTCCTGACTCTCTGGAAAAAGTAAGATTTTTAGAACACCATTACAAAAGTGATTATATCTTAGGACATTAACAGCACAAGGTCAATGAAGTCCTTTCTAATACTGTATGTTTGGGGGGGTTCAGATACTCATTTCAAAACACAGAAACCATGAAACATTTCAGCTCGGCAGGGGGAAGCTCTGAGACAGAATGGAGTTATAAAGTGGGGACGTGACTTTGACATTCTCTTCCTGTTTTATCCGACTCTGCTGCGGGAGGAGAAGGTGAATGGAAAGATATCTCTTTGTCCTTTTCTCCGAGTAAATCTTTTAAAGTCTCCTTCATCTTCCTTGCGTCTCTGCTCTATGTGAATATTTTAGGAGCTGCTGTCTTGTGTTTTTAATGAAAGGGGGGTTCAGCTTTGTTTTTTTTTTGGTGAATATAATACACCACAGGCATAAATGTTTGGCAGATTCTCCTTTTGAGAGTGTGTGTTGTCTCTGTTCTTGTGCGAGTGTGTATCAGAGAGCCTGTGTGTGCAGTGGAAGCCTCCCGTGGTGTGCTTGGTGGTGGAGAGGGATGAATAATTGATTGGGGGGGGGGAGAGAGAGATTGAGAGAGCAAAATGAGGAAGAGGAGGAGGAGGTGGAGGAGGACAGGGTGTTCTCGAGAGGTCCTGGGAGCTCACTGCTTCCTGTCTGTACACTTGACACACCATGGTGCTTCGTTACCGCTCACTTTCTGTCACGCTGTTTGGACAGCCGCTCGTCTCCGCTCATTTACATTTCGTCTCATTGCGTATTCGGAAGTCGGACAGACGATACAACTCAGCTTTGTCCCGACTCTTTCTGGGCCATTTGTCTTTGAGAAGCCCTGTCAAAATACAGCCACGCTTTGCTGCTCTCTTCAACTCTGTTTCCTTTCTCCTGAGACAGATTTCTCTGACAAACGGAACTATTTGACCTTAATCGCTGCTCTTAAATGTGAAGTGCAGAAACGTTGTTTGAGTGTCCTTATCCGTGTCTTAAGACTTTCTTCATTCTGTCCTTGCTTATGAGATTGATTTTTTTTGTGAAAATGTCAGACAGGTTTCTGGTCGGACGTGAAACTGGTACGAATGATGGTTACATTCAGAGAAAACAGCACTCCAGTCCTTGATGAGGCCAAACTAACAGAGAATTTTGTGTTAGGTTTCAAGAGAACCAGAGAAGTTTAAAATGAAATCTGTTGAGCGTGTACATATTGGACTGTCTGGAATACTGTGGTCTCATATGTCTGCTCACTGTGTGGGAGTCCTGTGACTTGCTTTGGGCTAAACTAACTCTCACGCATACTTTGCTCTTGACAAGTAGGGATGTGCAAGACTATTCGACTCTTCGGTCAAACATCATCACCCTCGCTGTTTGGTTAAATAGATGATTCACATTTTTACACGTTGGCCCTCGATGACGGTTAAATGTTGCGCTCAAACTGCAATACAGCAATCTGCCACTAACCGGCGCTGTAGCCATAGACTAGCTGTATCTCTGGCTAGTAGGCCTTCTCTTCTTGCTCTACTGCCTGGATGTAAACAAGCACAGTGTACCGATTGTATCTCACAGAAGCAGCACAGTTTGGCAGTTTTTCGATCTAAAAAAAAAAAAAAAACTGACTGGATTCTTTAATCCAGTCAGTGCTGTTAAGTGATCATGAAGGATTGAAGGAATAGAAATAAATCCTCCTCTAAGGGCTTCAGGGCTCAGTCACAGGAAGTTGCTGAGTCTGAATCCAGAAACAAGTCAGTCAGTGTCGAAGCTGAGGAGTTTGTCAACAAACACGTAACTAAACAGTTTGTATGACCTTTGTAAGTGTGCAGACTGTGGATGAATCGGAGACATTAAGTTCACAAAATGGGATCTGACTTGATGCTCATTTGCTTCAGAGACATACGGCACAGCAGATGCTGCGGTCCTCCTCTTGCAGGCGGTGTCAGCAGCACGCATTATAAACAGTAGATGGAGCATGAAAAAGGCTTTCTGCTCCGTAGTTAAAGGCTGGGGAGGGTCTCATAGAGCCAGAACATCTTTTAGAGATGTTAGGGCCCTCTCCTGTGTGTGTGTGTGTGTGTGTGTGTGTGTGTGTGTGTGTGTGTGTGTGTGTGTGTGTGTGTGTGTGTGTGTGTGTGTGTGTGTGTGTGTGTGTGTGTGTGTGTGTGTGTGTGTGTGTGTGTGTGTGTGTGTGTGTGTGTGTGTGTGTGTGGTGTGTGTGTGTGTGTGTGTCTGGAAAGACAGATACAACCTGACCTGTTTGATATGGAAGTTGTTTTGGTGCTTCTCGCTGTGAAGAGATGCGTGACTCAGCGCTTTGCACCATCTCCTCGCCTTCTGTCCCTTTTGTAGTGTGTTTGTGTGTGTGTCTGTGTGTGTGTGTGTGTGTGTGTG